TATAAGCACCCACACACACACACACTCGCACCCACACGCACTTATTGCAATTTCTATAGTGTGCGTGACTTTTGTTCTTGTCGTCCTTCGTCAGACAGCAAGCAAAACATATCAAGGAGCTCATAACAATGCTTGAGAGTTCGCCCTTAGCGTTGCGTTGCGTCGCGCTTTATTTTGATTTTGATTTAACGTTCTTAATTACAACAACAACATTAATGACAATAGCAGCAACAACTTAATTTAGTCATCGCTTGCTATCGATAAGCAGTTGGGCCAGCATGCCGAATATAGCATAGCCCGCACCCACACCAGCACACATGTATATGCACATATATATAGATGTCTGTGAATACATTTGACAGGCAAACCGAAAACTTTTGTTTATTGCCTTTGTTTTTGTATGCTTATGCTCGTTCACCTTCAAGTGGGAGGAGAGTATATTGGTTTCCCTTCGTCTGTCTGTATGAATGCAAAGTTTAGATACTTAAACTAGTCAGTAAGTCAGACAATCAGTCAATCATCAATCTATAGCCAATCAATCAATCTATAAATTATATCATAGGTTCACCCATCATTCAATTAGTTAATCAGTCAATCAGTAGACAAGCAAAACATTCTATCAATCAGTCAATCAGAAGCCAATCAATTAATCAATCACTGAATCAGCTAGTTGAGCTGCTGCCAATCATTCCGCAAGTCAGTCAGTAGACAGTCAATCAGTATCATTCAATCTGTAGACAAAGAAACAATCAATCTGTCACTCAATCAGACAATCAGTCAATACAGCAATCAGTTAGTTTATCTATAGATCTATAGATCTCACGCTCTCTCTCTCTCTTTCTCCCTGCTGGGAGCATAGCATATACTTCGTTCCTAGTTAAACCAAGTGATTAAATCGCCCACCAATTAGGGCGTGGCTATACGGTAAATCAGTTACGAATCTATTTCCACAATGAACCAGCATTGGGCAGTCGGTCCATGCGGTAACATCCTTTTTATAGCCCCCCTGGGGTTGAATGCCACAGAAACAGATTTGGAATTATTAGAAAGTTTTCGCTTGCCCAACACAAACAAAGGATTTTGAACATGTTCTAAGCCAAAGGCGACAAGGAAACAAGTATTTACTTAACTTATTAACTCTATGTGAAAGGCCAGAGATCTGAATGAAACCTAAATATAAATTAGAGTTCTTAGAATTTTAAATATAATTTCAAATTTGAATTAAGCTCCAATCCCTAGGAAACTTATAGAGTGAAGACTAAAAAGGAAACAAACTTTAATAGTTAGGTCAATAAATGAGCTGAAATGTGAGGGAAGTGTTGGAGCTTAAAGCTGAAGGGAAATTGGGAGCAGTCCAAAACCTAGTGAACTAACCTAACTACTGAATAGAGTGTATGTAGGAAAAGATATTAAGAAATAAATCTTGAAGAGATGTAGAGCTGGCGAAACAGAACAAATGAAATCTACATAAGCTCAAATAGATATAGATGGATGCATATTAACAAAGAACTCAAAAGTCTAAAGTCAAATAGTTGATATACCATGGATACGAGTGGAAAGACTAAAGAGTGAACGATTTCGTGGCAAAAGAGACTTGGGTTTGGTCAAAGGCAAAAGTGCTAAAGCCAATGCCTAACCTCAATTAGGCAACAACAAGCCGTATGCTTTAAAACTTGTGAATTCACAGCAGAGAGATAAAGGAAATGGATACCCAACGATTACCATTTGAATAGATAATGAAACTCTGGCAAATCTCTTCATAAAGCATTCACAACAAAATTGGCGACACGCGGTCCAGCCAACGAATTGATAGATAAAAAAAAAAAAAAAAATAGAGGCAATGGGGAAAAACTCCCCCACGGCATAGCACTACACCCATGCCATTCCCAGCCCCCAGTCTGGAATGTGAGCCGACAAAACTGTTATAACAATAAATTAAGTTGCTGTTGCAGCATAAAAACCCAAATTGCCAAATGGCTTAATGGGGGAAGTTGAAAGTCAGGGAAGCTAGCCGTTCCCACTCTATCAATGGGAAACAAGTTCGAGTACGCTAGAGGGGTGTGGGGTACGACTAGGCGATACCCTGTGCAGAGTTGAGGCATATACAGAATCTAGCTGCGGCCGAACGGGCGATAAGACGGACGAATAGAAAGACGGACGGACGGCAGGATGCACGAACGGACGGACGTTCAGTCCAAAATGAGTAAATCGATTTACTCGCTCGCTCCTTGGAATAATGAATAATCCACATAGACCATAAGGTCTTCGTTTCGAGAAAACCAATATGCCCCGAATTCGCACTCCCCATGATTTCCAGGGTATGAAACACCCGCTGAAAATGTGCAATCTGTTGACGAATCATCACGACAGATGAAACGAATCGGCCGGCGACTTAGAAAACTACGAGCTAGCTAGGACAAGGGCGAACCGCTCCGCACTGTGGCACAGAGGGGGTACAGAGGGGTGTTTGTTGCTAAAAAAAAAATAGAAATGGAAATAGAAATGGAATGAGCAACAAAATCAGCGACCCTTTGCAAAATGCCGTAAAACATTCTCAAATGGTTTTTATTGAAGGCTTTGAGCCATTTTTCGGTTTGACTTCGTTTGCCCGGCCAATTTAATAGCATACTTTACAGCGCTAAGCAGGCAGCCAGGCAGCCAAGCAGGCACTGTCGCAGTCGGAGTCAAGCTGAGGAAGAGGAAGCGGGTCGAGCTGCGATACAACTATCCCACAAAATACGCGACAAACAAACAAAATGAAGTGACGGCAAGTCGCGTTTCACGAATTCGCGTATTCAACCAAACGGACGTTCATTGTTATTTTAAGAAAAGCAACACGACAATACCCCCCCGCCCTCAAGTGTCCCGCAATGTCCCAGCATAGCAAAGGCCTGGCCTGGCCTGGCCGCAGAACCTCGGCGCTATCTGCGCCCACAATTCAAACAATCTTACTGTCTTATGGCTTAAAAACGCAGATAATAGATACTCTATCTTTAACCAGATCCTATCAACAGCTTAGGCCTTAAAGACTGACAGATTCTATCCCTTAAGCTGCTTGGGATGCCTAACTTGCTTATGGTATCACCAAACACCTATATCTGAGTAGGTCTTTGCCACCTTTTTATCTATCTGAGTAACCTCTCAAAACTGTCCTATGGAAATTACCCAATCGAAGGCTCAGATTATAGATCGAATTCCGCACTTTTCATGCTCCACTTGCTTAGAGCATAGAGTCAGAGTCAGAGTCAAATATAGCTGAGAGCATTGTAGACATTCTGCCTGGAGTCACACTATAAAATGTACTCTATAAGAAATACTCTATGAAATAAACAACCCTGGGATAACCCTAGGGTGCGATCCCATAGAAGTGTGCTATAAAAGTGCATATGGGAAATCCTATGGAATTATCCTAGAGATTTACTAATGGACAAGTTTTCTAGGGTTTTCTCACACAAGAGATGTGATCTATAAGCAAATGAGAGAGAGAGAGAGAGAGAGTCGTTTGGAAAGATGGTTGGAAGTATCTAAAGACAATATTCTATAAAAGGAGTCTTGGAGGTCGAAATTCGGAAGTACAATTTATATTCAGGGAATTTAGTTAGACTGATGTCTAAGATAGCTAGATAGAGCTTAAGAGAGCATCCACATCGATATGTTGATTCACAAGTTTTAAAGATTTAAGACTGTAGACATTTCTTAGCTTACTTATCCTTCACTCCCTTTCTCACCCTCCCTCTCTCTCTCGTTTCAATTAGTTAAAGTGCCCAGACTGCGTAAGGGTATATTGAAAAGAAGACATAGCATAACGCTGTAGTTGGTAGCTGCAGGAAGCAGCAGCAGCAGCAGCAGCAGCAGCAGCAGTAGCAGCGATGCCAGCGACTCCCTTGCTCAACTTCCGTTTTGGCTTGCAGCAATTTCTTTTGGCTTTATTGCCCCCTTCCCCATACAGAGTGTCCATCCCTCTCTCTCTCTCTCTCTCTCTCTCTCTCTTTCTCTGTCTGTCTCGCTTCATCTTCGGGCAGACTTTACATCCTGCCCCACACACCCGCGTCGCATTGGCTCTGTGTGTGCTACCCGCTGCGGCACGACGCATATAGCATAAATTTTGAATACGCTCAAAGAGTCAGGCCGAGGGCGCTGGCTGTGGGGGGGCGGTGTAGATTGAGATTGGTTCTGGGGTTGGTCCGCAAGAAAAATAGCGAAAATTGTCTGTCGCTTGATAAAGCGGAAGCAGAACTTGCCCATAAACGAAATGTGGCAACTGAGTGTAAACTTTATTGGCGCCCGACCGACTGGCGACAACATTTGCCCGAATTGGAGGTAGACGGAAAGCTGGAGATGGCGATGGCGATGGCAATGGAAGCCAGTATATGTATATATGTATGTGCATATATATCCAGAAATAGCAGCATGTTGAACCATGTTGACTCATGCGACACGCATTTGGCAAAAGGAAGCCCCCAGACATGCCCGGGGCGCGCTGGCGTCTCGTTGGCTGCCAGTGAGAAGCGCCAAGAGAGGCGCCACTGCTACTGCCACTGCCAGCGCTTTGTTTGTTTTGTCTGCCTCATTTCTTGCACTAACGTTCGGTTTGTCTACGCCATCAGGCATCAGTGGGAAGTCCTACATTAGTTGATTTCATGCGCTGTTTACATTGGCAGCGAATTATGCGCATTGAAAAGCCAAAGATTTGGCTGCCAACTGGCGTACACCTCGCCCAGCCCTCCCCACCTCAGAGCGAGCTAAACGGGGTCTATGGCCTGACAGCCTAGTTACGACAATATATCCGGGTGTCATTGACACAACCTATTGGAGAGGGAGCGGGGGTGGAACGGGGGAAGGAAGGTCCCTCCTGAAGGGGCTGACTTATCTAGAGAAATTCTGTCAAGGTACTTTTCCGATTGCTTCCCAGACCCATCCTAAATGCCGGCTTAAAGCCTTGGCACATTAATGCATTTTTCGCTCTGCTCCTGTCTCACATGCATTTCTTTTCCTTTCAGAGGTCCTGTCCAGCTGGGAGGAATGGTGGACATACGACGGCATCTCGGGTAAGTTGCGCATTTAAGTATCTCAATTGAATTCAAATTTAAACACTTGTCAGACATGGCCGGCCAGAATGTGAATGCATGTGAATAGCCCTCGATGCAGTCGCTCGTTAACAACTTTAACGAATGCCAAATACCCGCTGCACTCAATCAGGCAAATAAATATCGAGTACAGATGAAGTTACAGCGCTTATTTCAAATGTAAATGAATTCAATTGCGGAAGGGACTTCAGGCCAGAGCTGGAAATCAATGTATATGTATAAATATACTGATAATATACACTGAGGAAAATTGGCTGTGCAGATGTAAGCGAGAAAGGCTGAAAAGTGAAAAGAGCTAGGGAAGCAGGAAGAAGCCGAAGAACTGCAAGTAAACCGACGAGAGGGAAGTCAAGCTAAAATGAAAACAAAAATATGAATACACAGAGAGAAATGGGGTTGAGAACAAGTTGGGCAGAAAAGGAGAGAGAATACGTGTGATTAATAAGCCAAGGAAACAGTTGAGAGATCGAGTGAATGAAACTGAGATGACCTTGAGTAAGTTAGCAAATGCAAAGCTAGAAATGGGTTGAAAGAGAGAGGGAAAAGGATGAAATGAGAAGCATGAAAAATTAAAGTAGAAACAGTGGAAAGTAAAAGAAAAAAAAAATTATATGTAAAAAGGAAAGAAATACAGGAGACCACGAAAATATACAGAAGGAAGAGCGAGTGGATGAGAGAAATTAGGTATAAAGAAGGAATCTCCGAAAATATGATGTGAGAAAGAGAAAGAGTGAAAGTAGAGAATAGCATGAATATATAAGGAATGCAGATGAAGAAATTGAAATATGGAGCGGATAAAGTTTTTTGCTTAAGGTGCCAATAATTTTGTATCTATATGAATATGAATGAAAAAAGAGTAGATTATGATAAAATGATAGATCTGATGGAATAATTCAAAAACTAAATGTTATCGATAACTGAAACAGTGGCTGACATAAAGTTATCGAAAATAATAGCACAAGAGAACTCTTGATTTATAGATAAAATATATCTATAAATTCGAAAGGCGAGCACAGTCAGYCAAATGAAAGAAAGAGAAATAGAGAGCGATAGAGAGAGAGGGAGAGAGAGAGAGCGAAGGAAAGAGTGAGATATAGACGTAGAGTTAGAAACACATGTCTAAAATTGTCATTTAACGCAATTAAATTGGATTCAAGCGAGTTTCGCGCTGCAAATTTCGAAATGAAAGTGAGCAAAATAAATAAAATAAGCGAAAACATATTTGTGGATAATACAACTCTGTCTGTGTAGGTGTGTGCGTGTGTGTGTGCGGATGGAATTGTAGCTGGTCAGCGGCCATTTTTGTTATTATGCCACACGGCTGCAGCTTGCAACAGGACGCAGTTTTATTTATGCAACAGCAGAGGCAGCGCCCCAGGGTTAGGCTGAAGCTGAAGCTGAAGCAGCGGTAGAGGCAGAGGCTGGGGCAGAGGCTGAGCGCCAGGCGGCAGACAAAGCAACAAAAAAAAAAACTCACACAAAGCATTGGCAACAAAAACGAATGAATAAGTGAATGAATTAATGAGTGAGTGAGTGTGGGTGAGTGTGTGAATGAATGCAAACACGAAATGAGCAGCAGCTGCGAGTGGCATGAGCGACGGTGGCCTCAAATGTTGCACTACCATTGAGGTGCACCTAGAGAGAGAGGGTGGGCGTGTCTATAGATGTGTGTATGAATGGGTGTCTGTGTGTTTGTGCATACATATCACACACACACACACACACACACTCATTCATTGCAGCTACTTAGCCTCTGCACTGATTTCTGTTGCTCTTGATGCATTGAGCACCCTTGACATTGTTGCTCTACCGGCGCGAGATAATCAGATTTTCATAGCTTCACTTTAAGATTCGAACTTCTCACATATCAGACTCAACTCCTATGTAATACAGTATTTATTTTTGTTTATTAAATTTTAAAATACATTTTTACAGAATATAAAATATTTTTGATATTTTTGCTCCATTATTCGAAAAGTTTGTATTCTGAAGCAAAGATGAACTCTTTCAACTGTATCTACCTTACACATATATATCAACAGCAGCGGCAGACCTTGCATTGACCATATCATATATATCTATACTATATCTTATGACAATCACTTATGAGAGTATTTCCTAAGCGGCACGACGCACACGCTAGGTTTACGGTCTATAAAAATATTTAATTTTTCCATATGGCTGCTGCATACGGCACACGAACGGCATGAGGATTGCCACCAGCCCAGCTGCCCCCAGTTGCAATCATTCTGGCGGGGCAGTGGGGGAGTTTGTTTTGAAAAGTTTCGACAGTTTGTGCCTGTCACATCAAATTGAATGCAGGCGAGAGCCAACTATTCGGTTACCTAAACGCTCCAGGGCAAAGGGCGGTAGTTCGGGCGGAAGGGTCAAATGTCGGTAGCTCGCCTCCTCTTTTTTTTTGTGTTTGTTTTTTTCTTGTTGAACGCAATGGAACTCCCATTTGGGTTCATTTAATTGCTATTTAAACTGATGCGAGAGGCAGCGAGTGAAGCGAAGCTTATGAAATTTCATTTGGTGTTTGAATTGTCGACTCGTTGTTTACAATTCGACGGGGCGAAGGACGGACAGGACGAGACTGGACACATTTCCCATTCGAACAACACGATTGACAGTTAGCCAAACAGTCAGTCAGCTGTTGAAAGCTTCCACTTCCTCCCATTCGTAATACCCATCAGCAATCGAGGGATGCCAGATGCGCCATGGGAGTCTTTAAAAGCTATATACAATATAATGTATTGCAGAGTGCAGCTGTAGCTGCTCAGGTTTCTTTAAATGCCCAAGAGGCACAATCAAACTGCTCTAATCTATTTTCACACCAAAGTATTCTAGCTAAATGAACTCACAGACTGTTGAGCCTAGAGTTAAAGCACTTGAAGGGCTAAGATCTTGCAGCTAAAGTGCAGTTGATAAGAATAATATAGAATAAAGTTAAATAAACTGAGCTAGTCAAAGTCAAAGCTCAAGTCTTATCGCTGAGTTTGTAAGACTCCGCTTTGGTCTATTAGCTATTCTTATACTATCGCTAGCTCAGCGCTCGTCTCTTACATAATCTGACTCTGGGGTTGCAAGGGTTAGTGTTCATTTGCCTATTTATAGAGTCCGTACATGTGCCCCTTATCTTTTCCGAGCGCACAAGCTGCTAGTCGTTGAGTGCGACGGAGGCATGTGTATTTGTATTCGATCTTCGTATATTCATATGCTCATGCCTAAACACCTCTGATCTAGTTACCGAGATATATCAGTGAAACTGAGTCGAGCTTATGGACTATATAAGTCTATTACTGCTAAGTCTATTAAGTCTATTACTACTCATAAGTCTCTTAAGACTTATCTTTTAATACTAATGTAGACATAAGATGTGACTAATGCATACTTAGAGGTTAAGTCTTGATATACGAACTCAATCGGAGTGCTCAACTTCGATACATGAACTTGATTCGATAGTCCGATCGATAAATGAGCTCTACCCGAAATAGCTAGCCCAATCGAAGCAGAGTATCTGTTGGCCAAGCATGCCGCACTTAATCAACATAAATTTATACATAATATGTGTGCATCGAGCATTGTTGTTAATCAGCGATTTGTATTTCACAGGTCCCAGCTTCTGGGGTCTCATCAATCCGCAGTGGAGCATGTGCAACAAAGGACATCGACAGTCGCCCATTGATGTGGTGCCCGACAAGCTGCTCTTCGATCCATACCTGCGACCGCTGCACATTGACAAGCACAAGGTAAGAGCCGCAGCAGCAGCAGCAGCACCGGAAAGGACATTCAGTTGCACCGTCTCACTCACACGCCATCTCCCCTCCTCTCTCGCTCTCTCTTTCTCTCTCTGGCTGTGTTTCTCTGCCTCTGTTTGGCTGTCGTCGTCAACAGGTTTCCGGCACGCTGCACAACACGGGTCAATCACTCGTCTTTCGCGTGGACAAGGACACAAAGCAGCACGTGAACATATCCGGAGGTCCTTTGGCCTATCGCTACCAATTCGAAGAGATTTACATACACTACGGCACCGAGAACAGTCGCGGCTCCGAGCACTACATACAGGGCTACAGTTTTCCGGGCGAGGTAGGTCAATCAAGCGACGGCAACAGGATGGCCAGACTAACCAGTCATATTAATATTGTAACATATCCCATGCACACACACACGCGTACACACACACACACATACAGATACAAATCTATGGCTTCAACAAGGAGCTGTACCACAACATGTCCGAGGCGCAGCATAAATCGCAGGGCATTGTCGGACTCTCGTTGATGGTGCAAATTGGCGAAACGCCCAATCCCGAGCTGCGCATCATAACGAGCACATTCAACAAGGTTCTCTATAGAGGTGAGTTATGCGATAGTATCGGTTCGGCATACAGCGAACGACGCTAGCTTTTCAAATTAAGACTTTTACTTAGATCTATATACGCATATATTGTATATATATTTATGGTGCCATCACATCGTATCCCTAGGTATATATATTTATTATATATGTCTATATTATATACATATATTAGCTATTAAGTATACACGAGAAGGCTCTCTCTGTTTCAAGTCCATCTCTAGCTTTGTCTTTAAGKCGTGATTCACGTGACTTGACTTGACTCTCCCATCTCTTAATCTCTTAAAAAGCCAACTTAGAAATGCATTGACTTGCGTGACACGATTCAGCACCTTCTCTAGGTGCATTTTCAATGGATACTTTGATCACAAGGAGACACTTGGATTTGTACTCTTCTGCAGTCAACTCAATTGAAGTCCTTTGCCTGGATCACATGTCTCTAGCATCCTGACGCACATATCATCTGTACTTAAAGATATATCGTATTACAGTACGAGCTACATACAGTTCCCTCTTCTAATGCAACTTCCATTTGCACTACTCCACTTTATATTTATATTCCCTTTTGACCTCTCTCGTGTCACGACCCATCGCAAGCTACAATCATTTCGAATATATCGTTTCACGACTTGCCGACTCACGACTCATCGCAAGCTACAATCATTGCGAATATATCGCATCACATCTCTAGTTCAGCTTACTCAGTTAGAGCCAATGCGATTAGTTTCCTTATCGTGTCACATCTTAATGACTCACGACTCACGAGGCAGGTATCATCTCTACATTCGCTTCGCATGGCTTTTTGGCATTCCTCATCAATGAAATGGAGTCGAGTTCGTTTGATGAGTTCCTCCGTTGACTGACTTTCGACTGGCACTATCAGCCAACCAAAAGGGGGCGCTTCTGGCTGAGGGGGCGTGCCAACATCATTTCCGCTACGCAAAATGCACCGGAAATGTTGCAACGTTTGCCCAACTCACAGTTCGCGGCTGGTGGCTCATGGCTCATGGCTCATGGCTCATGGCTCTTGGCCAGAGCTCAGCGCTCAAAGCTCAGGGCTCAGGGCTCACGGCTCTTGGCTCTTGGCTCTGCGGCTAGCACTTTTATGATGTCATTCCGCAGCAGCAACAACTTGCTAACTGCAAGTGGAACTGCAACAATTGTGTAGCTGCAACAACAAGCGGCATAATTATGTGCGGCAACGTCCTAAAGTGAGCCATAAAAATTGCTCGACAGCCGTTGGCCGCGAAATTGGCGCCGCGCCGTGCAACGCCGCGCAAAGTGACGAAAATGAAACCTCGAATTACACTAAACCGACACTTAATAATTCCCCCTTCCACCCCCGCAGCCCATCAACCCGACCGACCGACAGACCGACCCAGTTTAATAGCCTTTTTACAGGTCGTACAACTTTATGTAGCTCCATGAAAGGACGAACAAAAATACAGAGAAAAAAGTAAAAATAAATAACCTGAAGTTTCCTTTAGCGCCCCGCTCGAGCTCAGAATGCAGAAAATATGCGGCCAATTTCTGCGAACCAACTGGCAAAACAACTTGAAAGTTTAACTACTTAAAAGGTGAAGTCAAAACAGTCGAAACAACGAATATCAAATACTCTAAGAAAGCAACGCGAAGAATTCTCAGACAGAGTCTTTAGCCTACTGCATTCCTGTAGGTAAAAGTTATCGATAATTTATGAAAGTCATCGAGAGTGTACGACATACTCAAGTCATTGCTGCAGAGTATTCCGATGCCGTTGCACACTGCACACCAAAGCGCCATGTAAGAGCTAACAATTCTGTTGCAAATAATTATTTGGAATGCCTTCAGACCCGAACCGAACCAGTGCTAACGGCTAGCTTCCACTGCGCTCACCGCAAACCCAACGCTTTCGCCACTCGTTTTTTAGTACCATTTGCCGCCGTCTCATAAACCGCGAGGCGCTTCATTTCCGGCTGGGCATAATGATTTGTATGAATGAAGTCGAGCGCCGTCGTTCAAGTGACCAACGAGAAGGCAACCAACAAATCAGACTCAGACCCCGCTCCCCTTGCATACCCTCGCATACCCTACTAGCCCCACAGCCCGTTCTCCCCTCTCATGCAAGGGCAGGCCCCATGTCGACTTCTTCTTCCCCCTCTTTTGCTAGCTAGTCTGAATTATTCATTAGGTTTTTTTCGTATCGTCGACGTTTTGCCGTTCATATTGCGAACGAGACATGGCAAAATGTGCTGCACTCCATTTAAATGTCCGATGCACCTTGAACTTTACTTTCGATACCCTATAAATGTCAAAGTGTTTAGAATTGAAGTTTGATGTATAGATATAGGTAAGACTTTCTATTAAGCCCATTAGAGCTAATGTGAATGAGTCGCGTCTTTCTCCACCGTTGTTTTCGTTGGATAAGAACGGTGTTTTTTAAACGTATAAATCTTTAAAAAGTAAAGGGGAATGGACTCAAGAAATAATGCCAAAGTGAGAGTAGATTACAATAGATTGTGTGTTTAGCTAGTGAGTTGTTGACAGAATATCCCAAGATTACCCGTATATAACATAAATACGTAACCACTTAACGTAACCCTACCTAGCCTTACCTTGGTTCAATCTAACCTATTCCTCTTTAAGTAAATCACTATAAAGTAACTGACTCACTGGTTTAAGCTGGCACCACTTAAACGACCACAATCGAACATGACATTCTGGCTGTCACTTAGGGTAAGACTACCCCATCTATGCTACCTTAACATAACCTTACCTACACAACCATAATAAGACCTTCGTTTCGCCACGTGTATAATAACCCAACAAGAACCTTACCAATCTAGACGCAGATATTATAATCGGAAACTAACCTACCTACCCTAACGTGACCCACCTAACTTACCTAACTCAACCTGAACTCTATTGAGTCCTAGCTTGTCGCGATCTCCACTATAGCCTCAATAGGCCAGCATTAACCGGAAAACTAAACGAAAAATACCATATATCTATGGCATCCATGGAACTATTTTAGACCAATGCTTAAGCTTAAGTCTAACGTAAGTTGGTGAGACCCAAATTTTTTTAGATGAACCGACCCACATGATCCACACTAGCTTAAGTCTTAAGGCGGGGCTCATTAGCTCATAATTTATAGATCCTTAACAATCGCTAGCAAGTTCTCTAACTCACTTTACTCCTCCCAACACTCCTTTGCAGGCTTCTCGACGCCCATACGGCACATATCGGTGCGATCGCTGCTGCCGAATACGGATCAATATATTACGTACGAGGGATCCACCACGCATCCGGGCTGCTGGGAGAGCACGGTCTGGATACTAGTTAATAAACCCATCTATATCACCAAACAAGAGGTAACAACCCGCTCTCGCCCCTCTTTCGGCATCGGCTTTTCCCTTCCCTCACCCGCTTTGCCAGCGACCGCAAATAATAAATTGCATTCGCGTTGTGCAATTGCAATTAGAGACGAATTGTATATAGTATATGTATTTTTTTTTTTTTCATTATTTTTGTAATTTGTTTTTTAATGTTATAATTGTTGCAAAAAAAAAAAAAAAAAAAAAAAAAAAAAAAAAAAAAATAGCATAAATGCAATTATAAAATTTCTCATCAATTGGGCTACGGTCGCCGCGCGGTTTAGTTGCGGTCAACGCGATGCTCTGCGCATAATTAAAAAACAATATTTGGTTAGTTTAATCAATTTGCATATGCATCGACAAAGGACGGACGACAGAGGGGCACAGCCCTGAAACTAGACAACAAACCCAGGGTAAACAGAGAGGAAAAACATTAAAGAGAAATCTACACACACATAAAAATTTGAATAATTTTTGGATCTGTCCATTAGCTTCTAGAGTTAGGATTGAATGATATAAAAATGTGGTATATTTTCTATAATCTCTCCAAAATGATCGACTGAAGTAAGGAACCCATTTAATTCTCATTTCCCATTCTCCGCTTCTCATTATGCTTTCAGTTATATCAACTCCGTCGACTGATGCAAGGCTCCGAGAGTACACCGAAAGCTCCATTAGGTAATAATGCGCGACCCGTGCAAAGTTTACACCATAGAACCGTAAGGACGAACATAGACTTTAAGCGTCATAAGGTAAGTGGTGAGAGATACTAAATGCTATTCATACACTCGTACCAATCATGCAGTAACATGACAATCTTTAAATATGTCCGTCTGTCAAATCAGAGTTAATAATCAATCAAAAGTCAATCAATCATAAATCGCCTATCACTCTGTCCAACTCAGTCACTCGTACAGCCATCAACCCAATGAATCATCCCAATCAACCATCCCAGTCAATCATCATTTGCCTGCTAGTCAATCACCCTGTTCCGCCTATCATTCTATCAATCATATACCCTACAAATTGTTCAAATATTAATTGTTTCCATTTCATTTCACTTTCCGTTTGCCCACAACAGAATCAAAATGCATGTCCTTCCATGTACAAGGATATGTACTATCGCGCGAATCGCTGGTCCCCAGATACAGGACTTCTGATACGTTGACAACAACAACAACTTGAAGCAGGACAACAAAAACAACACCAACTGCATTTCGCATTTTCAATTTTCCCACTGATTTTTTTGAAAAATAACGTCGAAAAACGAGCTCAGGATTCGTTTTAGCTTGCAGCATTCCTAAAATTCAAC